ACATACAAGGGTTGGAATCTTTTTAAAGCTTGGCCAGTTATAAATTGCAAGCCAACAGCTGCAAAACCTTCTGAAGACGATTCTATCCACAGACTCCAAGATTGCCTCAGATCTGGGGCTGCAGGTGGCTCAAGCTGCCTGGGATCATTCCTCTCTGGGGATCTCCAGCTTACACAGCCACTTTCTCATGTCCTTTACTGTCCTCCCTGTCCTCAGATCTCCAACCAAGTAGTCACCACTCCATACTGCCTTCTAGGACACCAGCCACAGGCCTGAGAGTAAAGAAGGGTCCTATAGACATGAGTTCCAGGTGGGGTGAGGAGGCTGGCACGCCATGTGTCCCACAGCCCAGCAGAGCTCACTAAGGTCAGAGACTTTCCTCTCAGTACCTTTGTTTCTGGTGAGGGCTGAGACTGCTGTCTTCCTGGTCTGGAGGTTCATGTGGAGCCCTTGCAGACTTTGAGGGATTCAAGATTTTCTAAGAATATAGAATTCCCCTCCTAGAAACAATCTTCAACTCCTGTATGGCAGTTAAGAGAAAGGCCTGGAAGACCACCATACATCTATAAGGGAAGGGAGCGTGTGCAATCTAAACAATATCTGAAAGTGGCTATTGCTTGAGTTAATTTCTAATTAGTAAGCATCTATGTTGCTTTGACATATTAACTGTGAATGGAAAAAGGAGGCCTGAGGTTTGATTATTATTAATTAATACTAAGTTACCAGCCCAAAATGGGTTGGTATTATATAAAGAAATCGTGGTCTTTCAAATGCAAGAGTTCTGCTAGGTATGGTAGTATATGCCTGTAATCCCCGCACTTGCCGAACTGAGGCAGAAGGATTACAGTGAGTCCAAGGTCAGCTTGAGTTACCTAATAAGTTCCACATCAGCCTAGATTAAATAGCAAGACTCTGTTTTACAAAAAAAAAATAAAAATTAAGTGAATATTATATTTAAAAAATAATAATAAGGGCTGGAGATATGGCTCAGTGGTTAAGAGCACTGACTGTTCTTCCAGAGGTCCTGAGTTCAATTCCCAGCACCCACATGGTGGCTCACAACAATCTGTAATGGGATCTGATGCCCTCTTCTGGTGTGTCTGAAGACAGCTACAGTGTACTCATATACATAAAATAAGTAAATCTTTTTTCAAAAAAAATCAAAATGAGCAACAACAATAAAAAAGTCAGATTTGAAGCAAGATGTAGAAGATGGAATTCAATGGCAAATGAAATGCTGAGTGTGGAATGGAGGAGGGCGTCCTTGGGGGAGGAGGGTGAGTTCCCTAGGAGGAGGGCGTCCTTGGGGGAG